GCCACAACGCCCGGCTATTTTTTGGTTGCAGCCGTCATTGTTGTTTGGTGGGTCCGGGCTGGGGATTTGAACCCGCCACCTTAAGTGTACGTGGCTGGTGCCTTAGCCGTTTGAGCTATAGGCGCCGAGCCAGTACATATAGTTATTAATGAAGCTATTATAATTAAGGAAATGAATATATCTGTCATCTCACAGTTACTCTTATTTTTTGTTTTTTTCCCCTGTGTCAGGAACAACTAAAGTCTCATTCAGCATGAATTTCACGTACAGCACAATTTTATTGCCTGATGTCCTCATCTTACACATAAGAACTCCATAGTTGTTCTTCTCACATATGTACTACATTGTATGTCCTCTGACCTACATCTTCTGATTCCTACCCAATGTTTTTTTCCTCTGTGTTTATTTGAATTTGTTCTTGTTTTCTTTCTGTATCTGGTTTATTTCACTTATTATAATGATCTCCAGCCACATCCATTTTGTGGCAAATCGCAAACTCATTGTTTTTTATAGGGCTGAATTATATTCCTATGTGTGTATTACTGTTTCTTTATGCATTTATCCATCAACAGACATTTACATTGTTATCATATCTTGGCTATTGTGATTAATGTTGCTATAAACGTGGGAGTACAGATACCAAAGCAAGAACCCAAGACCCTACCTTTACTTAAAATAGAAAAATTATCTGGGCATTGTGGTAGGTACATGTAGTCCCAGCTACCCAGGAGGCTAAGAAAGGAGGATTGCTTGAGCCTAGGAGTTTGGGGTTGGTATGAGTGAAGCCGAGGCCATGACACTCTAGCCTGGGCGACAGAGCAAGACTCAGTCTCAAAAAACAAAACAACAAAAGAAGTAATCCCAGCACTCTGGGAGGCCAAAGTGGTTGGATTGCTTGTGCTCACGAGTTCAAGACCAGCCTAAGCAAGTGCAAGACCCCTATCTGTTAAAAAAAAATAGCCAGGTGTTGTGGAGGGTGCCTATAGTCCCAGCTACTTGGGGAGGCTGAAGCAAGAGGATCTCTTGAGCCCAAGAGTTTGAGGTTGCTGTAAGCTATGACGCCATGGCACTCTAGTGGGGGCAAGATAGTGAGACTGTGTCACAGAAAAAAAATAAAAAAGAGAAATGAAATGAACAGTGTTAATGTGATCTTTATTTTTAAAAATATTTACATATGCTTGTGTAGAGAGAGACAGAGATAGAGAGATGGGCTGTCCCTGTGTTCCACAGGCTGGTCTTGAACTTCTGGCCTCAAGGGATTCTCCTGCTTCTGCCTCCCAAAGTGCTGGGGTTATAGTCTTGAGCCACCTTGCCTGGTCTGCTAATTTTCTTTTTATGTATTAGGCCTCAAGAAAGGAGAACGGGATATGAACAGTTTCACCCAGGCCCATCCCCTGTGGATCATGATTCACTGGAATCCAAGCGCCCGCGTCTGGAACAGGTTTCTGATTCCCATTTCCAGCGTGTCAGTGCTGCGGTTTTACCTTTAGTGCACACGCTGCCAGAAGGGCTGAGGTCTACAGATGCTAAGAAGGTAAATATTTGTTCTCTTACCCCGTAGAGTTGTAGGTTTGTAATGGTTATTTAGTCATATTCAGTCACAACACCTAAGAGAAGGTTCAGTTATGCCAGTCTCCAAAGGTTAGTGCTATAGGAAAGTAAAAAATTTGTTAAACAAAATTGAAAACCACAGATGGAGTGCCCTAGACCATTAAAATCAGTACATTTTTCTTTGGTAAATGAAAATAATCTGAAAAGACTACTGTAAAGAAAAGTTCCATTGGGCAGCGCCTGTGGCTCAAAGGAGTAGGGCACTGGCCCCATATGCCAGACGTGGCGGGTTCAAACCCAGCCCTGGCCAAAAAAAAAAAAAAAGAAAAGTTTCCATTGAATATTTTCAAGTATTTTGGCTTGTTGGACTATAAAATGTGGTTAGAGGTACTCAAGACTACTGGCATAGTTAAATTTAAATTAAATTGTAAATAAGTCTTTTAAATTCAGTAATTTGTTAATTTGCTACATGGGAGAAAACACATTTCAGGTAAAGTTTAACTGTTTGTGTAATTTTGTCTTTTTTTTTTTAGTTTTTTGAGACAGAGTCTCACTTGTACACCCTTGGTAGAGTGTGGTGGCGTCTTAGGTCACAGCAACTTTAAACTTTTGGGCTCAAGTGATTCTCTTGTCTCAACCTCCCAAGTAGCTGGAAATATAGACGCCCGCCACAATGCCCAGCTATTTTTTTGTGCAGTTGTCGATTGTTGTTTAGCAGGCCTGGGCCAGGTTTGAACCTGCCAGCCCTGGTGTATGTGGCGTATCAACTGAGTTACGGATGCCAAGCCAATCTCTTTTCTTAATATAATGTCTTTTATGTCTTTTGCTTTAGCCCTTCCTGAGTCCAAGATAACGTGAATCCTTGTTTTTTTCTTTGTTTTTATTTCAGGCTTTTTTTGATTTGCTAAAAACCCTCTCACAAATGTTTGCTATTACTTGGCTTTTATTTTGATGTAAGATATGAGGTAGGAATATAATTCTTTTTCTTCAAAGTTGCCTGGATGTTCCAGCGGAAGATTATAGCTTCATGAAGGTGGGGATCATGTCTGTTTTGATCTCCACTCTATACCTAGTTCTTATCATAGAAATAGGCATTCAGAGAATTTTTCTGTTAAATATTTAACTAGAATGAGAGTCATTGGAATATTGATTTATTTTTATTTTTTTTTAGAGACAGAGTCTCACTTTGTCACCTTTGGTAGAGTGCCATGGTATCATAGCTCACAGCAACCTCCAGCTGTTGGGCTGAAGCGATTCTCTTGCCTCAGCCTCCTGAGTAGCTGGGACTACTGGCGCCCACCACAACAGCTATTTTTTTGTTGGTATTTGTCTGGGGCCAAGTTTGAACATGCCACCCTCGGTATCTGGGGCCAGTGCTCTACCCACTGAGCCACAGGCGCCACCCAGAATAATGATTTATAATAGTTCTTAGAGCACACATCAGAATCATTTGGGGAACTGAATCAAAATATTATCTGTTTTGCTCTTATACATGTTTCTGTAACACACATTAGCAGATACACATATGGTAGGAGAATGATAGTAACATACCCTGAAATCTCTGGTGGTCGCTAAACATAAGTCTCTGCACATTCTTGTTTCAGAGTCCTTAGGAGCAAGCTGTGTCCTAATTAAAGGAAGAGTTTTCACAACATGTGAAGACCTTAAGAAAATTGGAAAGTTCTGCATTTTAGTCTTCATTTAGTGCAGGCAGTAGTAGGTGGTTCAGTGAGTTCAAGACTTGCTGTGCTTCTCACAATGTTAGTGAAGACATTTTCCTCTGTGTTTTTGGTTTTAAAGGTTGATAAAAATGGTTATATCCCACATCTCATTGTTTTATTATTTAATATATTTTAGGGTTCTGTACTCCTGTATACTATCTTCATTTTAGGCTTCTTAAAGTCTAAAAAAGACTTTACCTTAATCTAAAATTCATGTGTTGGCTGGGTGTGGTGGTTCGTGCTTGTAATCCTAGCTCTCTGGGAGGCTAAGGTGGGTGAATCACCTGAGCTTTGGAGTTTGAGTCCAGTGAAAGTAAAAATGAGACCCCGTCCTCTCTACTTAAAAAAAGGAAAAAAAAAAATTGTGGGGGCGTTGTGGCAGGTGCCTGTAGTCCCAGCTACTTGGGAGGCTGAGGCAAGAGGATTGCTCAAGCCCAAGAGTTTAAGGTTGCTTGAGCTATGAAGCCACTGCACTCTACTAGGGTGACAGAGCAAAGCTCTCTCTCACCCTCCCCGCCCCCGCCCTCCCCAGGGCTCAGGGCCTGTAGTACAGTGGTTATGGCACCAACCGCATGTGGTTCGAACCTGCTTCTGGCTATCTAAAGCAACAATGGCAACTGCAACCAAATAATAACCAGGCATTGTGGCAGGTGCCTGTAGTCCCAGCTACTTGGGAGGCTGAGGCAAGTGAATCACTTGAGCCCAAGAGTTTGAGGTTTGCTGTGAGCTGTGACTTCACATCACTTGATGGAGGGCGGCATAGTGAGATGCTGTCTCAAAAAAATAAATAAATAAAAACCAAATAAAATGTGTGTATTTTATAGTATCCCTTAAATCTTTACCTCAGACTTCAAATTAATAGAGTGTATGGGGGGATCAGGGGGTGAAGGGACTTTCATTCTGCTGCAGTTCTCTGCTGATTTGGAAGTGGGATGGGATGTTTTTGGCTAAAGAGATATTATATGTGCCAGGCTTAGTTGCTTTTTATGAAGGTAGGTTCAGAGATAGTAGTAACAAAAGTTCCTATTTCATATCTATAACCCGTACCTCAGTTTTGGTCTTTAGAACACCTCGGAACTTTTTTTTTTTTTTTTTGAGACAGAGCCTCAAGCTACCGTCCTCAGTAGAGTTCTGTGGCGTTATAGCTCACAGCAACCTCCAATTCCTGGGATTAAGCAGTTCTTTTGCCTCAGCTTCCTGAGTAGCTGGGACTACAGACTCCCGCCACAAGCCCAGCTATTTTTTGGTTGTAGGTGTCATTGTTTGGGAGGCCTGGGCCGGATTTGAAGCTGCCAGCTCTGGTGTATGTGGCTGGCACCTTAGCCACTTGAGCTACAGACGCCACCCACACCTGGGAACTTTTTGATAGGATCTCTTGGCCATATCATAGCTGTTAAGTTGAATGGATACGTGAGTTATATCTGGAAAAACATTGTTTCCCAATCTGCTTGTTCAAACCCTTTGAAGAGCCATTACAAGGAAATAGCTGAGAAATATTTCCTAAAAATTTCTCTGTAGTATTGTTACACTAAAGGCTAATCAACACCTGGTCATCTCACTCTCTAGCTTCAGAGTCTTCAAAATAGTAAATGGTATTTGAAAACTATAAAATCGGCATAAATGCCTAAGAGTTTGTATGTTGTGTGTGTGTGTGTGTGTATATACACATATATATACGTATTTTGTATATATATGTAAATACAAAAATTGCTGCTTATAGCGTACCATTTGAGAAATGGTACACATAGATGGGCGTAGAGTCTGTAGCCCCAGCTAGTAGGGTGACTGAGGAGGAGAGATTGCTTGAGCCCAGGAGTCACGTCTGTGGTGGACTGTGATTCTGACACTGTACTCCAGCCTGAACAACAGCAAGACTCATCTCTCATTTAGAAAAAAGAAAGCGCACATGAGCGAAAGGACACATCGCTCTGCTATGTTTCAGAATTGACTTTTTCATTTAAGTTGATCTTGAATCTAACTTTGGTTATTAGTGAGAAGTAAATTGTTGTTGTTGTTGTTTTCTAAAGGACCCAGCATTTGGAGGCAAACATGAAGCTCCATCCTCTCCAATCTCTGGGCAGCCATGTGGAGATGATCAAAATGCTTCGCCTTCAAAACTTTCAAAGGAAGAGTTAATTCAGAGTATGGATCGTGTAGATCGAGAAATTGCAAAAGTAGAACAGCAGATCCTTAAACTGAAAAAGAAACAAGTAAGTATATGTTTTTACTGCTTAATATATTTTGAGAATGTACGTTTTTCTCCCTAAAGAAGGTTTTTTTTTTTTTTGAGACAGAGTCTTCACTCACTATGTTGCCCTGGGTAGAGCCCTGTGGTGTCACAGGTCACAGCAACCTCAAAGTCTTGGGCTTAAGCTATTTTCTTGCCTTAACTTTCTGAGTAGCTGAGACTATAGGTGCCCGCCCCAATGCCTGGCTATTTTTTTATTGCAGTTGTCATTGTTGTTTAGCTGACCCTGGGCTGGGTTCAAACCTTCCAGCCTCAGTGCATGTGGCCGACACCATAACCACTGGGCTACAGGTGCTGAGACTAAAGAAGATAATTTTGAATTTTCCATATTTTGGAACTTTATATAGAAGGAATCGTGGCTTATGTATTTTCTATGACTTGCTATTTTTTGCTATTACTGTAGTTTCCTTCATCATTCATGCCTCTTGTTGCACAGTCTGGTTGTGTAATTGTAGGTAGCAAACTTCGTTTGTCCCTCCAACTTTGGATGTTAAGATGTTTCTTCTCTAGGTTTTTGCTATTCCATACAGAAGTGCCAGGTTTGGTTCACATGTATAAATTTTCTAGGGCATATGCCCAGAAATAGCATTGCTTGGCTTGAGATTAAGTACGTCATTGAGTGAACTAGATGATACCAAATTGGCTAAAATAGGTACTACCATTTTATATCCCTACTGGCAGCAAATATCAGTGCCAGTTTGCACACATTTTTGCCTGTACTTGATACTTTTTTCAGTTACACATGAAATAGTTCTGACTGTGGCTTTAATGTGCATTTCCGTGGTCAGGAATGAGACTGAGCACATTTTCATTTGTATATGGGTTGTGTTCCTTACATGCATCCCTTGAGTCCTGTCCATATCCTCTTACTTTATCATTTTCTTCTTTGCATGATTTCCTGAAGTTTCTTGTCAGTCATGTGTGTAGTAGATATTGTCTAATTTGTGATTTAGCATTTAACTTCTTTTCAATAGGGTTTTTTTTTTCCTGAAAACTTTATTGTTGGGGATTCATTGAGGGTACAAGATATGTCACACACTGAGACCCTAACCCTCCCTCCTTCCCTCTCTTTTTCAGTAGTTTTTTTGAGGGAGGCTTTTTTAAAACATTGTGATATAATTAACATACCACAATATTCACTCTTTGAAAATGTACAATAAAGTGTTTTAATGTATGCATAAAATTATACATCAATCACCACTGTCTAATTCCAGAACATTTTTCTCTCTTAGAAAAGAAATCCCGGCTCGGCACCTGTGGCTCAAGTGGCTAAGGCGCCAGCCACATACACCTAAGGTGGCGGGTTAGAATCCAGCCTGGGTCGTCAAACAATGACAGCTGCAACCAAAAAAATAGCCAGGTGTTGTGGCGGGTGTCTGTGGTCCCAGCTACTTGGGAGGCTGAGGCAGGAGACTCGCTTGAGCCCAGGAGTTGGAGGTTGCTGTGAGCTG